TCATAGAAAACACTCAGAAAACTGCTGCCTGCAGGCCTAAGCTCTGGAGTCTCTCTCCTTCGTCTTAGGCTTCCCTACCTACTAGGTCTGATCTGAAATACTCACAGCCTGGGTTCTTTTGGCTCTAAGCTGTAAGGTAGATTAGGCAGCAGTACCTCCACATCCTGAAGCTTGGTGAAGATTCCAGGCAGGAGTTTGTTATCGAACCCAGGAGGAGTTAAATGAACATAGACACAGGCAGGGTGCTAGGTGCAGGGGACAGATGGATGGCATATGTTCCTAGCCCTAACAGAGGTCCATCTAGGGGGAGAACCCACCCAGTCTAATCAGAGTGTAAACTGCTGGTACAGGGACCCAGGACAGCCCCCATGAGATGGGGGTGGGGGGGTGCTCCTAGCCCTGGATGGGATGGGACAGGAGGTCAGGGCCTAAGTGGAACTGCTCTGAAGGATCAGGAGTCCATCAGGTGACAGAGGGGGATATGGTACTCCAGAGGGGAACCTTGCAAAAGCAGAGGACAAAAGGCCAGCACGGGACACCACCACAGTGAGGCTACAGCAAGGAGTAGAAGCCAGTGAGGGGACTCTGCTCACTTGACCCAAGTTTCCCAAAGGAAAAAATTTAAATGGCTATCAAACTTAGGTTTCACAAGTCTGTGTTTCAAACATGAGTAAGAGTAGGCTTTAGAGGACCATTTTTCAAATGCTGTTAAAAGCTGTGACATTCCCATGGCATCCACACACACTTTGAAGGCCTAAAGAAATCTTAAAATAGTATCAATTAAAAACCATCTTATTTTACAAATGAGGCAGTACAGGCCCAGCAAAGTTAAGGTGGAATTAGATCCCAGGTCTTTTCTACCAAGCAAAATGTTCTATGCAAAATGCCCTCAGCAAAATAAATGAATGAATAAACAGCATTCATATGGCTGGAAAATAATCAGTGAATAAAAAATTTTAACATCATCAAGTATAATTCTGTTTAATGCATGATTAAATGTATGTGTTATAAACAGGAAACTGAAAGTGCTTAATAAACATAAGTGCCCTTCAAATTTCATTCACTCTTCATTTATGTTTGCTTCTCAGTTTTAAAAAACAAGCAAAAGCACACACCTTACTGAGAAAGTACCAGGTATCCGAAAAAAGAGCAAGGTGAACCTAGAACTGGGCCTTAAAAAATGGTGTGCTCTTTTCTCTAGGCACATCTCAAAGAGAAGTTCAAAATAAGCCAATGCTCCCCCAAGGCCATCATATTCCAGAGTGACTCAACTGAAGACAGAAGGCCCGGGGCTTTGGGAACTATGTGGGGCTGAAACAGCAAAGAAAAACACAAATACATTCCTAAGTGTTTTGAGCCCTGATTTTCAACTTGAAGAATGGCAAGTAACAGCCCCTCAAGTTTGAATTTTCCATGCTGAAAGGGGCTCCTCGGGTGGCTCAGTCAGTTAAGCAGTTAAGCATCTGACTTGAGCTCAGGTCATGGGCTCATGGTCCCTGAGCTTGAGCCCCACGTCGGGCTCTGTGCTGACAGCTCAGAGCGTAGAGCCTGCTTCAGAGTCTGTGTTTCCCTCTCTCTCCCTGCCTCCTGCGCTCATGCTCTGCCCGTCTCTCTCCAAAATGAACGAACATTTAAAAATATTAAAAAAAAAAAAAAAAAGGCCTCAAGGAAAGAACTGCCAGAGGTCACGTATCAGACTCCAGGACCACCACTGGGTGCCTCAGCTCTTCAACGGGTAAGAGCCACAGCTACCAACGGATTTCACTTCAAAAGCAAGGCTGCAAATATTTAACCTGGGGGAAAATACTTCAATCTTGTTGCAAAAAAAAAAAAAAATTTTTTTTTAACTTAAAAAAAAAAAAGTAAAGCTGCACCTTAAAACTAGTTCGGGGGGGGGGGGGGGAAGCTAATTAAAGTTTTGCCACTTGCTTTCTTAACACTTTCCTGAATTTCCACAGCCAAAGAAAGCCCGGGCATATTTTTTCTGTCGGGGCCTTCGATCCTGGGCAATTATAATAATTATAATAAAATTTGCATTCCTACCAGCACAAGCCAGGGGTTTTCTGCAGTTCACATCAGAAGTGGCCACACCCCAGGGAGAAGAATTATTCTGGATTGATTCAGTCAAAAAACAAGCGAGGTTCTCACCACCAAGTCCTATGCTATTTTGGAGGCGTACAAACAAGGCACATCCCTTGCCTTCAAGGACTTCACAGTCTGAAATATGTAAAGGCTGTAATGACAATCAACGCTAAATCACTTGCCTCGCGAATATTCCGCAAGACGCAAAGGAATATTAGGGGTTGTTAGGTCAAAGAAAACTGCAGACTCAGCTCTGGCATTTGTGTGTCCCTTAGCCCTCCTGATGTGGTCTCCCAGACAGGAAGGGGGACTGGGAGACAGGCTGCCAAGAAGTGAGCGTGTGGCTCTGAGGGGAGGTAGGAGAAACCGAAATCCTAGGCTAGCTACAGTGCTTTTCTTTTTTGGCAAAATCGATTTAAAAGATGGCGCCAACCAGGAAAAAAAGTTGAATATTTTCAGAGAGTAATTCAGCCACCCCTCTCAAACTTAATGAGCACTCTCCAGAAACCTCCAAAAATGGGCATACTAGGGTTAAAGCGTGTGTGCTTCCCAACTGGACATGCGATTCGACTTACCAGGGAAAGCAACAAACAGCACTGCCAAGTTAAAAAAAAATTTTTTTTCTAATATCCAAGAAACTTTTTAAACAAAGAAAATCTCCTATCCCCCCCTCCCAAATTCTCTAACAAAACAACTGGTTTTACTTTTCAAACATTTCCTATTTTGCTACACAAGCCCTAATAAATTCTCTAGGATCTCAGAAAATCCGGTAGACATGGTGGCCACAAAACGAGGTTTTAAACTTAAAACCGCACACAGTTTGGGTCCTGGAAACTCAGGGCTTAAAGTAAAAGTGAATTTAGTTCCCCTTCTGCCACTCGGATAAGTGCATTTCAAAAACAGCGTGACCATTTCTCCACTCCTAACTTTGACTGTTTTAATACCACTTCGGGGAAGGGCAATTACATACAGCACATAAATAACCTGAGTTAACAGCAATTCCGTATTTGTACACTTACCACTAACCCCGGCCACGAACTAAAAGCAACAACAGTGATCCAATCGGAGAAGAGAATCCTGGTTTTGGCAAAGAGCTCGCGAAAGAGAGAAAACCCTGAACTTTGGGGATCAGTCTCAAGGAATGTTCCTAAAGCAACTCCCTCTCTCTTAGTCGTTCCGTCCGGAGACCTCCCCAACGCGGCACAGGTGGCGGAGCGAGGCTCCCAGCGACCCCACCCCACGCCGACCGCCTGCGCCCCGGATTACCTGCGGGGTCAGCGCGCGCTCCCGCCGGGTGCAGGGCCGGGGGCGCGCCGAGGCCCGGCCCGACTTGCGGACACCGGGGTGGGGGTGGGGGGGCGCTCCGTCCCGATCGGCCGTCGCACTCGCATCCCTGCGTGCCTTCTTGGTCCCCTCCCCGGAGAGAACGGGGCAAAGGGGCGACTGTTACCCAATAATAGCGACCTGCACAGTCGCAACAATGCAGGCGGGGACCCCGAGAGCCGCGGGCGGGGAACCGGAAAGCACAGCCCGGCTCCGCGGCTCCGCCTGCTCGGGAGCCCAGTACTTTCCTGAGAGCACGAGTCGGGGGGGTGGGGTAAGGGACGCACGGGGGACTAGCGGTCCCGGGGGGGGAGGGTGGGGGGAGAAAGGACACCGGTCCGGACGCCCCGCGGGGTCGCCGCACGAGAGGGGCCGGGGGAAGGCGAGGCGCGCACGCCCGGGCTGCCCCGGGCCGCTTGCCCGCCCGCCCAGCTCCGCAGCCCGAGCCTGGTCGCGACCGGGAGAGAGGCCGGAGCCACAAGGCCGCCGCCTCGGGCGCGATGAATCGGGCTTTTTTCACCCCCCCCCCTCCCAGTGCGTAGTCCAGGCCTGGTCGCTCGGAGCCCGCGTCCGGGGCCGCGGCCCGGCCAGGCCCGAGCCGGCCGGGGTGACTCAGGGCCGGGCCCCGCTCGCTCGGCTCCCGCCCCAGCGTCCTCCGCCCACGAGTCCCCCGGCCCCGCCGCCATTCCGCCTCACTGCGGCTCGGCTCGGCGGCTCAGGCCTCGCCGGGCGCCTGGGCTCGGCCGCCGCGGCCCCAGTCACTGCGACACCGCGGCTCCGGCCCGGGCCTGCGCCGCCGCCGCCGCCTTCCCTCGGCCCCGGCGCCGCCGCCACTCACCCTCATTTCCCCGGTGCCTAAATGGCTCGGGCGACGTCTCCACCTGGTCGCGGAGGCCGGGCCCCGGTTAAATCCCCGTCCCGCCAAGGTCTGGCTGCGTCCCTCAGCCGCCGGGGCTGCCCCGCCTGGAGCTGCGTGCGACACGGCTCCCGCCTCCTCCTCCTCCTCCCCTACCCGCCCGCCCGCCGGCCCTCCTCCCGCCGCCGCCGCCGCCTGCACCGCGCAACCTCCGCCCTCTCGCCTTTCCTCCTCGGCTCCCCGCCCTCCCGGCCTCACCGGCTCCGGCTACCGCGGGGTAGAAGCGGGTGGGGGAGGGCCGGAACGCACCGCCATCGGCGTCCGGGGCGGGGGAGTCGGGAAACCGTCGCCGCCATCTCCCCACAAGCCCGAGGCGCGGGAGGGGCCCGGAAACCTCCCGCCCGGCGCGGCCACTGCCCCGGGGACGCCCCCCGCGCCGGCCGAGGCCCCGCGAGCGGGGCGCGTTTCTACCTGAAAGCCCGCGGCCCCTTCCCCGGCGCCCCCCGCCCCCGGCGCACCGGATCCTCCTCCGGGTTTTAGAGCCTCCTTGGCTCTCGGGAACCTCTGAAGACCCGGGGCTTCCCGCCACTTCGGACCTCACGAGGAGGGGTCCCCTTTTTGGGTCGGGGGGCGTGGGGGGCCCGGCCTCTGGAGAAACTGCCCCAGAACACTCTGGAAGAGAGGGGCTTGCACCTCCCCCCGCCCCCGTGCTGTGCGCACACACCACACACGCCCCGAACCAACATGGAAACACAACCACCGCTACACCCGGTTAATACGCCGCCCTCATCATCCCCGACGGGACCGTGGAGCAAATCTGAGCCGGGCGAGAGGCCCCGAACACCAGGCACGGACTTCCGTGAAACGCGTAGTGCCTTCTCGAGCTCGTCTACACCTGCAGGCCGTACCTGAAAGCCTGGGCTTATCTGTGTGTGCGTCTCCAAAGCAAAACCCAGCGAGGCTTCCTTGTAACAACTCCCTCACCAACTCTCTTTGGGCCGACGACACGGAATCACCTTACCATTAACCTCGGCGGAGACCAATCAAGAATAGAATGAAGACTGACTTGTGTGGATGGGGCGAGGGACTAAAAAATATACTGTTTTCAGGTGTAACCTGGAGTAGTTGATGGCCTTCACGTGAAATTAGCTGTCACTTGGGTACTTGAGATACTCTAAACGCGGATTTTGGCAGCACAAATAGCCACTGGGCTTGCTCTGGTGAGAGAGGGTGGAGAAAGCGTGGACTCGCCCCGCGCTCAGTGAGGGGCTCCTGCTTTCGTACCTCGGTTCCCAACATGCCAGAGAGCTGGCTAATTCTGTGAACAAGGATGGATTCCCAATTATCCTGTTTGGGCGAACGAGGTGGTGAACGTCACTTCTGGTTTTGCTTCCAACCAAAGCACGACAGAGATTCTAGGACCACTTTGGGGTAGAAATCCGAGGCCCGGAGCAGAAGCTGCCCCTCAGAGTCCACAGTTTGTCCTGAGTAACAAGGGTTTTTCTTAGAAGAAGTATCCCAGTGGTAACATGTGGCTCCTTCTATTGAAATGTCTTTTGTCAACATCTAAGTACCTTTAGAAGTATGCATTTGTCCATATTGGTCACCAAAACGTGTCCTCTCAGTCTGTGCAAGGGCTTAAAAATTCTTGGTTTGTATCCTATACTTACAACCTCGTCAAAATTAAAATTAAAAAATAGGGGCACCTGGGTGGCCCCGGCAGTTAAGCATCTGACTCTTGGTTTCAGCTCAGGCCATGATCTCCCAGTTTGTGAGTTCGAGCCTCACATCGGGCTCTGCTCTTTTGGCACGGCACCCGCTTGGGATTCTCTGTCTCCTTCTCTCTGTCCCTCTCCGACTTGTGCTCTCACTCTCTTTCAAATTAAATAAACATTAAAATAATAATAAAATAAATAACCCAGTCCAAAAAAAAAAACCCGCTTAGATATATTTAACAACCTATTGTGGGCATGCAGTAAGATGGAAGGTAAAACTGGGAAGGCTTGGCCCTGTGGACAGTGCTTTCCACTCTACCTGTATGGCTTCTTTGATATCTTCATTTCATCCCCTTACTGGAGCCTGTGCTGTCTTCGGACAATAGACTGTCTCATCTCCATCTTCCCTAACTTGTGTTCTTCAATTTTATCATTCAGTATATTCTCTTTGTCTTTGACCTCCCACTAATATATCAGCCAACTCTCCCTTAACTGTTTTTCCGATTTTCTATTTTTCTTTGATGGAAGTATTTCATCCACCTATACCACCCTCTCTACTTCTCCCTGCCTCGGTGCCTGGTTAACTTGCTTCTTTTACCCTCCACCCACCTGCACTGTCATTCTTAGCTGATTAAACTATTCCATTGGCTTTTACAGCCACTTTACACACAGGCTGCCTCTACACTTCTACTCTGGGCAGGTAACCTTGCCTTGTACCTAACAGATCAAGGGCATCTACTCTCCTTCACTCCAAAAAAATCCTTCCTCCATCTTTCTCCCCCCATCTGAGCAAAATTAATGTCCACCTTTCAGATGACACAAAATTTTGAGGGATGACTACTTGGATAGATATCAGAATCTAACCTCAAAATAGTCTCGGACCAGAATATTAGGCCAAAACCAATGAAATCAAATATAACTTTACAAGTCTAAGGCAATATGATGAAGTTCAAAAAGCCCAAGTTTTAGATTCAGGCGGACCCTGGTTTATATCCAGACTCAAACTACTCTCTCTTCCTCTAGTTAAATCAACTATTAAACAGGGATATAAATACCCACCTCCTAAGGTTGTTGTGAAGGGTGATTCCTTTATAATTCCAGCATAATTTCTCAAAACACTTAGTTCTCTTTCTTTGTCTTCCATAAAATGTCTTCCATTTTCTAAGTCACAGGCACCTGAAAGCCCAAAAATTCTGACCTGTCACTATCCTGGCCACCATCCTAGAGAAATCTTTTATCTGTTTTGGCTCAGTCTGTGAGAGCAGACATTATCATAGTCATACCCATCTTCCAGTGAAGAAACCCAGGACTCCGAGAGGTAGTAGGCAATTTGCTCCAAAACACTCAGTGTGGCTAATGGCATCACCTGATCCAGTGACTCCCAGGTCCGTGTGCATCCACTATTCCACTAAGCTAGATTGTTCGTTTAACCTTCAACATGTTTTTCCTGGTTCATGATCTCTTCTCTGTCCTTCCAGCCTGTGCAGTGACTGACTGTAGATGGTTCTTTTCAGGCTGAAAAGAACCATCTTGTCCTTCATACTTTTTAATGACCCCCCCCCCCCACACACACACCATTGTTCATAGGGTTCAGTCCAGGCTCTGACCTGGCACTTAAGGTTTACCAGAATCTTGTCCTAACTTACGTTTCCGACTTTATTTCCGGCCACCTCCCAAAAGGAAGTCCTAACTACGTCCAGTCTTGTTGGACCTAATGTTGGCCCATAAATACGAGCCTTAAAGCACTACTTCTGAATGCTTGCTTCCTCCTTGCACAGAAAACGTTCCCTCTTCCTTTCATACATTTGCAAACCCTGCTCCTGTCTTGAGCTCACATCCTCTTCTTTGCACCTTCTACCAGGCTTCGGTGGTCTCTTCCTAATCGCCAACTTCTCACATGTGCCTTTAAACTAAGTAGTCTATGCCTTGGGTCGTGCAATATTTCCTAAAATTTACCAGGCCACTCAGCATTGTCCCTAAAGAACATCGAAGACTATTCAAACATATCTGTTTACTGATCAAATGAAAGGGTACTGCCCCACTTGACTGGCCATATGAGCTATTATTTCTAAGACATGAATAAGGAATTAGCCTTCCAGTGCAAAGTAGTTTCGTTTAATGGGATAGTTTCCCAAACTGCCTTTGCTTCAGAATCACCTGGGGGACCTGAATACTAATTTCAGGGCTCCTCCCAGATCTACTGAGTCAAAATTGGGTGGGTAGGGACAGGGAGGGAATTTGAAACTGCCAGAGTTTATATCCTGCCTTTACTACTTATGATCTGGGTGACTTTGAGCAAATTTCTTAATCTTTTTGTGCCTCAGTTTCTTCATCTATGATAAGACGGTGATAAATGTACTCATAGGAGGTTATTATAAATTAAATACTTAATAAACATAACTGATGATGATGATAATGATGACGACAATGACAATAAAGAAATAGTTACCCAGAGCCAGTCTAGTCTGGTGACTTGAGTTTGGAAACCATTGATTTAATGAACCATATTCCTTCCTCTGTTAAAGTTTCAAATATTATAACCTTAAAACTTCTGGTATTAGCATTATGACATAGTACAGTAAGTGTTATTTTGAAATAGTGTATTTTAAGGCAGAGGATTCAAGTAAACAGTTTTCAATTAAATTTGCTCAATTTAATCCAAATCATGAAATGTACATGATGTGTGACTTTTTTGAAACAGGAGTTCCACTTAGAAAAATAACTACACTATGCTCTAACTCTACAGATAATTCAACCAGCCCAGTATTCAAAGGAAGCAGGAAAGAGACAAAGTGTTATCAAGATTTCTTCCGCTGAGGACAGTAAGTAATAAATTCTTTTTGAAGAAGCAGATTTTTAAATCTTCTCTTTAATTCGTTAGAAAAAATTTCAGAGCTCATTTTGGGCCACCAGATGCCAAATAAGCAATATTTTAGTGATGTTACATGCAAGTGTACATAAATTAAGAAGCAGAAATTTACTTACCGTAGTGGCAAATTGAGTCTGAATGGGAAACACTGGAGATGGAGCCCCGCCTTCTCAACTCTGGACTTATAAATGACCTATATAAACAAATACGCAAAGGCCTTGTTTTTATTACCTGTAAGTCCACCAAAGATTTGTGGTATCCGCTCCTAAAGACTTAAATAGCTCTGAGAGCCATTCGCACGTCAGGATTAACTAGTTCCATCAGGTTGCCTTTTTACTAACACCCATCAGTCAGTAGCACCTCGAGAAGGGAAAGTTTTGGGCAAATCAGGTTTGGAGAAGCGTTGAGCACCTTAGGGCAGGCTGAAGGCCTTGGGGCCAGAGGTTTTGGGGAGGGGAGCTTAAGCGAAAGCACAGAAAGAGAAAAGAAGATGGAAGTATTTAAAAATCTTACCTGTCCAGCTTCCAATTTTGCATATTGAGAAGTCCTAGGCTGCTTATTTTGGGGACCCGGAAGCCTGGAAGTACCGTGGGAAGTTAGTCATGAGTTATGGAGGTCCTCGAGGTCTGACCCAGGAGCACCATTATTACATTCTGTTAGGTTGGATCGTATTAAATTAAGACTCATTTTCAAGTGATCTAGATTAAGCTCTATGAGCCAATTATTGGGAGTCCAAAAACTGTTCTGAATCATTTCCTCCAGGAAGCCTTCTGTGACAATCCAGCCCCGTATTCATATGTGCATTAGGCACCTCTCTTGTGTGATTCTTTTTTTTTTTTTAATTTTTAATGTTTATTTTTTTTGGGAGGGGAGAGTGGGTGTGCAAGCAGGGGAGGGGTAGAGAGAGAGGGAGACACAAAATCCGAAGCAGGCTCCAGGCTCTGGGCTGTCAGCACAGAGCCGGAAGCAGGGCTAGAACCCATGAACCTTGAGATCATGGCCTGAACGGAAGGCGGACGCTCAATCAACTGAGCCACCCAGGTGCCCCGAGACCATGTCTTTTATTACCACATCTACAGTACTTAGCCTATTGCCTGGCACATGGTCTACAGAAAGAACGACTGGAGCCTACCTCATGGATTAATTAGGATAGCTTGTACTCTGAAACCCAATCATGCCCCTTTCCTGCTCAAAGAAATGATTCTCTGTTTCCTACTAAAAGAATGACACACACCTCATCCCTAATCTTAAAACACCCTCTACACTTTGGCTTCTGTGGATTTATCCGTACCTTTCCGGTTTCCTATGCATATCGAACTAAATCTAACCTGGGCTCCTGTGAATGTCCAAATAGGCTCCGTGCCTTTCTTCATGCAACTGCACTTTCCCTTTCGATTGCTTTTCCCTGGTCACTGCTTACCCAAATACCTTAACCCCCTGCTTACCCCCCGGGCCTACCTTGAACGCAATTTCTGTAGTGAAACTTTTCCTGTTCCTCTGCCTGCTGTGAATTCCACCCCTCCTGCACCCTGGACAAGCTTCTTGAGAACATTCTTAAACAAGTTTGTATCCCTAGAGGATTGTTATCAACCAAGATTCTTCAGAAAAACAGAACCAACGGCACATATATATAGAGATCTATATACTAATGGAATGGATTCTTATATATATATTCTCACATACATATGTGAATATATATATTCTTATATATATATTCACATATGTATGTGAGAATATATATATATTCTTATATATATTTTCACATATATATATGAAAGAGTATGAAAGAGACAGATGATAAAGAATTGGCTCATGGGATCATGGAGGCTGCTGGTCCAAAATCGGCAGGGTGGGCCAGTGGGCTGGAGACCTAGAGGAGAACTGATGTTGCAGTCCAGGTCTGAAGGCCTCTGCTGGCTGAATCGCCTCTTGTTCAGGGAAGGTCCATCTTGGTTCTAGTCAGGCCTTCAACTGATTGGATGAGGCCCACCCACACTGCAAAGGCAACCTTCTTTACTCAAAGTCCATTGATTTAAGTGTTAATTGCATCCAAAAAAATACTCTCATGGAAATATCCCAAATAATGTTTGACTAAATATCAGGGGGCTATGGCCCAGCCAAGTTGACACACGAAGGTAACATTTGTAAACAATGAGCAGGATATCCTGGACAGAGCGAATGGCATTTTATACTCATTGCCTCTAATTGCTTACTTCCTGGGCACTCCTCAGGCGACTTTTAGCCACTGATTTATTCTACCCGCCTATGTAGTTCAACAATTTCTCTTCTGCATGTGTTACTTGAATTGCCTGCCCCCCACCCCCCTGCCTTGAAACTACTCATCTTTTGTCTCCAAAGCCCCTATACTCTCATGGTAACTCTTTCTTCATCCGGCTCTCTTCCACCCACCCTTTGACTATGAGTTTCTGCAGATTTTATTCTTGGCGATCTTTTTTTGCTCGGTTCTCTTTTTGTGCAATCTGGTCATTCCCATGGCTTCGATGGTCAACTCTATCAAATTATCACCTCCAACTCAATGCAGAGATACACTTAGGTTTATGATACTTGACCTTTACACAATCTGGGGGGAGTGCGTTCTTTTTACAAAATCTCTGTACTAAAATGGCCAGCAGTAACTTGACTGTACACTGATGACGTCCAGATGTTTCCCATTAATCCCCAACTACAGGTGTTCCTGACTCGGCTTCCTCCTAAACATGCCTGGGGCACTCCAATGCCCTTGGATCTGAGGGGAAGGTCAGTGGGAGGAAGCAGGAGTGGAAAGAGGTAACAGTCACAGTTTTGATCAATGTCAGCTACAACCACCTACTTCTGAAGGGCTCACAAAGACATATGACTACATGAATAATAAAGAAGCAGGCTCTTTATAAAGAGACCAGGGGCTTGGAAGGGCTCATGTGTGGGAGAAGCCCTGGCGCTAAAACTTCAGGACCTTCAAGAATGTCCACCTCTATCTCTGCTCAGCCTCGACTTCTCCCGCACTCTGGGTCAGCAATGCCACCTGTGAGCAGATGCCCCTACTTGAATGTCCCTCCTGTGTGACATCATTTGGCCTCAAATAAAGCCCCACTAGCCTTTCTTTCCCCCCCCTCGACCCGTCCTGTATTTTCTCTGTTTTCTTCTCTGGCACTGGCAGCTCCACTCGCCCAGTCACTCAAGGGAGATGACTCAGTATTTTTAGCTTCTGCCATTATTTTTCCACCTCTGTATCCACTTGTTCTTTAAATCCTGTCAACCTGAGAGCTGTGTGAGCTTTCATTTGAACCACTGCAGTGGCCTCCATGCCAGCCTCCCTGCCTCCTGTCTCTCTTCTCATTCATCCTCCACGTGGCCACGGAGTTATCTTTCTAAAATAGGTAACGACTTCCTCAGGAAGCAAAACAGTACAGACTCGGCAGCCGGACGCCCTGGGTTTAAATCTTGGCCCCACTGCTTCTTCGCTGTTTGATCCCACAAACATGATTTCGTCAGTTGGGGTCTCAGTTTCTTTGCCTATAAAATGGGAACAGTACACACTTCCCAGGATAGTTTTAAGAAAAGAGTTAGCGCGTGTCAGGGTGTAGTCTATCAGACACAGAGCAAGCATTTGCTGTGAAGCCATGGCTGTGTGGCTCTCCTGTGAAATTCGTCCGATGATCTCACATTCCTCAAGAAGACCTTCAGTAATCATCTTCGTGATGTGCCCTCCGTCTCCCTTCACAGTGTCCAGCCCAGCCCCCGCCTCGTCTCCTCCTCGACCCTGGGCTACAGCCACAGTCGGCAAATAGATCTCCCCAGGGATGTTTAGGGACTGCTGTTAAGGTTCTTTGTTTGGACTGTCCTCCTTCCTTTCTCTTTCCTGAAGAAATCTGAATCACTCACCAGGTCCCTGATTTCATGCCATCTTCCCTGCGAAGCCTCCTCAACCTCTTCTCTACCCTCTCTGTGACCTGAGGTTTTTGTGTGAACGTTGGCCAAAAGTCCCCCCAGAAAGCCCCTCTCCCCCCGAACATTCTTTTTTGACCACCAGCAACAGGGTTTAAGCTTTGAGCCACTATTCTTGTGTTCTCGTATGTAATGCATGTTGTATAAAGTGTATCTTGGAGTATTCCAAGTTTTTATTGGCATACATCAGACAGGACGGTTTGGTCGTGAACGATGAAGTGTGTTTTCCAGGTCATACAACGTTTGTGCCAGGAAAAACTTTATAGCCCATTGACACCATTTGTTTATATGATATATTTTATTTTATTTTTTTTTTTTATTTTTTATTTTTTTATTTTTTTATTTATTTCTAGGAGAGAGAGAGAGACAGCGTGAGCAGGGGAGGGTCAGAGAGAGAGGGAGTCACAGACTGAAACAGGCTCCAGGCTCTGAGCTGGCAGTCAGCACAGAGCCCGATGCGGGGCCCGAACCCACGAACCGCGAGATCATGACCCAAGTGAAAGTCGGACGCTTAACCGACTAAGCCACCCAGGCGCCCCTATATGATATATTTTAAAGAACAGCTGTAGTCGTTAGATAACATGTACAGAGAATTTAGGAAATTCCAGTGACCTTAGAGCTTGGTTCTGCGTCTGTGAGGCCAGTCGCTTTTTGACTCCATACACTTTGGGGAGGAAAAGATAATGGATAAATGGATGCTAATGTGCTAAAGGAGTCTGGAGGCTGGAGTCCTTGAAGGACAGAGAATACCCAACAAAGACATTATACTGCCGTTTTATGAGGGAAATTGCCCCCTGCCCATTAATCATTTCTGGGGAGCAGCAAGTGGAGAGGCCTTTTTTGGAATTTGCATGTTCTCTCTGACCATTTTTTAGGAACGTGTGTTTAATTTAGACTTGGAATCTGGATAAGGAGTTCCTGGCTGGTTTAGTTGTGCTGGCAGAGTGAGTTCGGAAACCCAACTCTCGTTGAGTGAGTGCTACAGTCTAGGTTTGCTGATAATGTCCC